GCTCCAAACCCTGCCTGCAACGCTTGTTTCTTGTCTGGCGCGGGGCAAGCCGCCGCTCAACAACAATGGCCAACACTACACCCCAAAAAAGATACCAAGTGCAGGCCATAAACTGTCCGTGTTCCTTGCTCGTTCCTCTCAGCCATCCCCCGCCCAAAGGGGCTCCCTTCAAATGGGTCCGAACAGTACTTGAGAGTGCTTAAGCAAAGGCATAAGGACTGCTGAACAAGCGTTGGAGCCCCCTGTGCTAACCCGAGTGTCAAAATCCTTCATGTTCAACCCAAAGTGTGTGCTTTTGCAATATGTCGCTGTTGCTTTCCTTTTTGTGGAAAATAACCACGATGTGCGGGTAACTGCGGATTCGTCTTAAAATAGGGGACCCTCAAAATGGTTTTTGGGTGTCCCCTCAAGTTCCCTTGAAAGCAACCCCAACAAAGGGTACCATCAGAAAAAAGCAATGTGCCACTTGGCATTCAAGGAGAATGGTCGCGTAGGGCCCTCCAAGTCCCCGGCAGCTGGCGAACCACATCCAGGGCCTGGCAACCCCGGGGCAACGGATTTCCAAACCCATCTTTGGGCTGACCAGCTGAGTTGACTCCTTCAACTAAATGATAAGACTGATTCAAGCGTGCAACTCAACCATTCTGGTGTTATCGAGAAAAACCCCATGCCAAAAGGAAAAGCAGCTCTTCCTTGGGCGCAGAAGGGTGTGGGAAGACCACAGGCTTCTTGAAAAGGCCGGCACCTGTCCGCAATCAATGGACACCCTTGCCAGGCTAGCTGGTGGTTGGAACGGAGCCCATGAGCCAGGAGTATGCCGCCTTCGGAGCTAAAGGAGCTACCACAAATGCTATGCTCAGATTTTGCTTCATACTAGAAGGGGCATGGTACTTGGTAAGTGGTCAGTAAGCATGGTTACAGCCCACTTACCATGGTTACTAGTCTCTTAAGTGGGTTATAACCAGGCTTACTAACCACTTACCTGACGTACCCTGCCCCTTTAAGTACCTGATAAGCCCCGGGCCGGCGAACGAACTTGCACACATGTTCGCCGTTGCGGCCAGTGGACAAATTCGTGGACAAATTCGTGAATATTCAAGAACGCCGTTTGATTGGCCAAAGGCGGTGGTCAAAATTCAGATGACTGGCTTGACCTTCCAAAATGTCACCTGTCCATTTCCCCACAAAGGGCCCGGCAGAAAGGGCCTGTTCCAGACTGAACACCTGTCTCCTTTCAAAGGGCGGATACGCACGTTGGAATCTGCAGCCACCTTGGACAAGCCCTGCCACGCCCTGGCGCATGGAAGGCCGGCTGGCAAAGCTCCAGAGCTCCAACCCGGTGCCGTTTCCAGGGGAAAATCAAGTGGCCGGCGAAGTGATTCCCCGGTTTTGGGTTGGTGGTTAACTCCTTTTGTTGGTGGTTTCTTCAGGGAAACCAACCGGAATTTCCACCGTGTTCCCTTTATTTTCAGGGGCACCCCCCGAGTTTCGGGTGATGCTGGGATCCAAGGTTTCCAGGCAGTTGAACATTCCTTTCGGAAACTGTTCTTGGTGGATGCTTGAGGGAAAACTCGAGGTGAGAACGCCAACTTGAGGCTGCCCTTTGAAGTTGTGCTTCGCCTTTTGGGCCGTGTTTGCTCATTTGCTTGGTTTCCTTGTTCCGTGTGTGTTTTCTTTTCCGTTTATTTGGTTGGCTCAAAGGACCCTCTTCCCCAAGGACAAGCTCCGAAACACGAAGCCCCCACGGCACTCGCATCCTGGGCTTGGGCGTCCGGGCGGCCACCTTCATGTCCCGCAGCTCCCCGGCGACGCTCTCCGCCTCCGAACGTCGCGGGGCCCGCCGCGTTGCGCGGTTTCGCCGTTGCGCGCCGTTTCGCCGGTCATGGACACTTAAAGGGGCGATCGGGTACATGCTTAGTAACCTGTGACACGTGCCCAATGATCCCAGTTGCCCATATAGTAGGCAACCAGCTCTTTTCCTGTTGGTTAAGGCTAGTCCCCTTAAAGGGGCCCTCAAGCTTCCTCTTTTTGAAGGCTCAGGGAGTAGGTGGGAGCGTTTGGGTAGTTAAAAAAGCACTGCATAGAGTTGGGGAGCAAATGTTGGGATCGATTTTTGGGTTCCATGAATTTCCTCTTAAAACCGCCCTGGCGATCGGGTACTTGGTAGGTGGTGAGTAGCCATGGATAGATAGCCCACTTAGGAGACTTATTACCATGGCTTTTGTGGGTTGTAACCATGGTTACTTACCACTTACCTGACGTGCCCGATCATCCCAAAATTCTTAAAACCATCCCAAAAGGTCCCCCCCCAATTTGACGAACACCCGCAGAGTCAAACCTAGCAACTCCGTGCCGATGAAACCCTCTCCTGGCAGGTTGCTTCAGAACCTCAAAGAAAAGGCCACTTTAAACCAGATTCCTGAAACGGAAAGTCCAAACACCATCTGTTTTGCCAGGGACCAGGTGACTTTAGAACTGGACACAGTTAGTATCCTGTAAGGGGTTCTGTTACGTTCACCAGTTTCAATATGGCCTGGTGCCGCACATATCAAAGGGCTCCATTTACCAGCCAAGTACTCCATGACCCTCGGTGTCAAGAGTTTTCAACCAGCCCACAGGGTACGGTGAGGTTGCATTAGGGAATGGTAATCCAACACTACTGTGGTTGGCCGAAATCCTGCATCACCAAGAATCCCTGGAATGATGATTCTGCTGCAAGCACCAACAAACAACGGTTTCCCCTGGTTTCAACGTAATGCAGGATTTTGTCCATCCACACTATGTTGGGGGAGCCAAACGCTTGTGGCCCAAGTCTCCCTAGGAGACGAATTCAATTGACATATCCAGATCTTGATTCGCCCATTGCCTTCATCGTGGCGGTGGCCATGGCTGACTTGGTCGCCATAGGGCTCTTGATCGCCTCTTTCATCTCCTTAGCCGGATCGCTCGGTCGGAGTCCAGGCTCAGACAGGTTCAGACCAATCGCTTTGGGGGCTCAATCATCTCAAACACAACACCCACACACATGAATCAGAGAAAAGCTTGTTTGGCAAGTCGTGCTCCTGTTGAGGGAAGGACGCGGGTTCTATTTACCAACTCCATACAATCGGCCCCGTCCAAACATGAGGCCTGCAAAAAGGGACTTTGGGCCTTGCAGCCGGACGGGGCTCACGCCTGGGGCCTTCAGGCCAACTTTATGCCGAAGGCCCGAGATGTTTCAAAGTAGCGGAACCCCGAAAAATATATATATATATATATATATGATTTTCCTTTAGCCTCCCTTCAGGTTTTCCTTTGGCCTCCCTTCGGCCTCCCTTCAGGGTTTCCTTTGGCCTCCCTTCAAATCAACCCCCGGAAAGGGGTGCCCGAGCAAAAAAACATCACGACGTCTTGCAAGTTCAAGGCCTGTGAAGCACCCGGCAACTAGGAATTCTGCCTCGAGCTTTCCGGACCCTTGCGCAGGACCAAGGAAGCACAAGGAGTCTAAGTGTGTGAACTTGCTGGATATTTCCAAGGTACTCCGCTGCAGATCAGCACAGAACCCAGCAAGGGGGTTTCCAAAAAATGGAGATTCCCCTTGAAATGATGGTTTAGCAAAACACCCGCACTTCCATAGAGAAATGGGCGAACCATTCCCACTGCAGTCGTTGACTTCCTGGGCCGCCCAACCACCACGCTCATCTTGGGTTTTCCCACCTGGGCCGTGGAGGAAGTCCGTGGAAATGGAGAAGTGAGCGAGAGGGAGAGAGATTCCTCGCGAACTACTCATGCCAGTGGACCCAGTGGATGATTGGGAGAAGTGAAGCCTTCCGCCCCGCCCGATGGCGCAAGCGGGAGCTCGGGCTTTGCCCAAAAAGCTGCAAGACGCCTCTGTACCACTAGTTTGTCCCTTTAAACCAGCCTGAAAGGAGCACCCTCCAAAGCAACGCCATTTGTACATGCTGGCTTCAGGTTCGTTCCACACCCGAACATCCTCCGGGCCCGTGTCCAACACCCAACCACTGGAACCGCCTCGCGAATCGTCAACGGGGATACCTGTGGGTTCCCTTTGGCCTCATGCTAATGTTGACCCCACATCAATCAACGGACCCCAGTTTATTACTAGTGGGTGTCCCTGGGCTTGGTGGGGAATCATCATTTTTGTAGTGGAACACCCTCATGTTAATAAAGAGGGCTTGATTGATATGGGGTCAACATTACTGTGGACCAAACCCACGCAAAAAATCCCAACCGCTTGGCATGGAGCTCATCGGGTGAACGGGCTCCCCTGCAAGCAGCGTGCCGTACATCACCATGAAAAAGGTGACGCCCATACTCCACATGTCGATCTGGCCGAGGAGGGACCCCGGAGCAAGGAGATCCCACGGGCGCAAAAAGTAGGCCAAAGTACATGGTAACAAGGACCCCCTGGGGATGCGGCCTGAAACTGCACCAAGCAAAACATCCTGTCTTCCCACAGCGCAGAAAACTCAAACAAGTCTCAAACACTCACTTGCCTAAAGAGTTGGAAGTAAAGGTCAATCTTTTGGAACCTTGAGAAAATGGACCAAACCTTAAAAAGGTCGGTCTTGGCCAAGTGAGTCTAAAGGGACAGCCCCCCAAAATGGAAAGCAACAGGCTCACACTGGCTGTTCGAACGCCGCAACTCAAACCCGGAAGCGGAGCAACCGGCAAAGTTTAGATGAATCCCCTTTTCATAAGAAACCATTGGGCGTTGAAAACAACAACAACAAAAAACTCGCTTGGGGTTGATCACTTTGTGGGCGGCCCACAAGAAGGGGACCAGGATTTGTCCAGCTGGGACCTCTGGCGTTCATTGCCACGTAAGCTGAAGCCCGGGTTTTGGTACCAAGTCTTTTTCACGGATTTTGCACCCCAACGAGAAAAAACAGCCAACCGGCCCGCCTTTCGAATGGAACAGCGGAAAAGCGGGGCCACTGCACGACCGTGTGCTTCGCAAAATGTGGATTCCCCTGCACCGCAGCTTCCCTTTAGTTTGACTAAACCTCCATTTGCTGAGGCCCCCTGGGAAAACCAATCACGGATATGTCCAGTAGCCAAAGAATAAAACATTGACATTTTAGCAAATGGAATGACTGAACACCAGTTCCGTTTGTGAAAAGGAAAGCCCCAACTGAGACTTGAGACGGGGCCTTAAAGTCATAGCCCTGGCGTAGCACCATCTCAGGCGCCATGAAGGCTGGCGACCCACACACCTCGGTTTCAAAGGCAGGGATTTGCAACAGGAGAAACAACCTGACTTCGGGGGGGTTTGCGGGGTTTTAGGGGGGGGTTGGGGGGGTTTAGCGGGGGGTTAGGGGGGTTTTTTGGGGGGTTTTAGGTTTTAGGGGGCTTTAGGGGGTTTAGGGGGTTTTAGGGGGTTTGGGGGGGTTTGGGGGGCTTTAGGGAGATTTGGGGGTTTGGGGGGGTTGGGCGGGGTTGGGGGGTTTTGGGAGTCTCCAGAACTCTCTAGACATTTTAGAAGTGACCGTCTCTGCACCATGGGGCTATAGGCACCCACGTGAGGTGCTTGTGAACTGCAAGGCTGCGCGTCATGACAAGGAAAGTCCAAGCCCTCAAAGCTGTGGGATGTCTTTTTCTTTTCAGGGCAGCCGGGCATCTGGGTTCAATACTTTCTGACGGGCGATCCTTCTTTTCAGATCCACCCATGCCTAACAGGTTTGACCTGCTATGTAAACAAGCATGCCCAGAAAAAGCTGGCAGGTCGCATGTAGACAAATGTCCATGAAGCGGTCGCCGCTGGCAGCGATTGAGCTCAACATGTTCAACGACAATAGGTCAATGTAGGCTCTCAGAGTAGCAGAATCGCGGACCCCTTTTAGAAGGCTTTAAAGGGGAAAGAACAGGACATAGGTAACTTTAGCGCTTCTGATCTGTGAGTAGGAACAGGGTTCCCTAAACATCACCCCACCAGGAGGAAGCCAAGAGGTGCGTTGAAACGGGGCCCAAAGGAAGTCGCTTTCGCTCCTGTCCACATGGAACCTGGCCCCCTTTTACAGGAGAATCGTCCAAACCAGGACCCATGTTTGGGAAATGCGTCCCCCCCCCCAATGGCATTTCAAACCATCCTAGGGGAAATCAAACGGGACCCCTGATGGGGGTTTTCTGTTGTCCTTCCAAGTGAAGCACTTGGCTGCCCGGGCTGCTTCCAACTTCCCGCCAGGATGGATCTCAACGGAGAGCCCGAAGTCCGCCAGCTTCAGGGTCCTGGACGCCCCGCAGCCAAGCACGCTTCAGCCCGATGTCCAGTGCCAGGGTCGAAATGCCTTCCCGTTGTCAGACCGTCCCTGTAAACCCCCAACCACTAAGCAATTAAAACATGGCACAGCTGCTTTGCCCGAATGATGTGAAAGTCAAAGATAAAGCCTCTTGGCAGAATGACAAACAGGTCGGAACGTTGGTGTGCTGGCCTTGCGGCTTCCCCAAGGAACCTGAGAGAATCAAGGGCTTGGCCATTTTGGGGCCTACAAATCCTACAAATGAAACAAGAGCCTGGCCTTTTGGGGCCTACAAATCCTACAAAAGAGCCATCACCTTGTCCAACCTTTTAAGAACAACTTCCCTACATTCCCCTTGAAACCTCGCCCCCTGCAAAGGAAGGGCCGCCTTCCGTCCGGGCCCCCGTAGAGGAAGTTCTGCACCTGCGGCGCCGCATGCTCCCGACAAAAACCGTTTTCCCCCCGCCTGCCACCAAGAGAAAACGGCCCGAAGTGGCGGCCAAGAAGACGTTTTTGATGTTGTTCTTTGAGGGTCTGAGAAGGGAATGATAGGGATCCCTGCTAAGAAGGTGGTGTTGATGGGTTTATGCGTTTATGGAAGGGCCTGCGAAGGGAAAGGTAGGGATCTCTGCTGAGCGCGAAAATGCCCGGCGGCTTGCGAAACACTCCCTCTGGATAGTTCCTAAGTTGGCTAATCGGAGTCAACATGCAGCAGGGCGGCGTCAAGGGCGCCCAAACCCAAAATTTGCCCATGGTACTCCAAAGGGAAAAACAACAAAACATATTTGATTAGTCCAAATATGAACTGATCACCCTTTAAATAGTAAATCCACGTTCCCACTATAGTAGATAAGCAGCCCACTTTCCTTCTAATTTTTCAAAAGGTGATGCCCCTGGGTACATGCAAATTGATTCACAAAACTGTAGACAAGAATGGTTGGCAGGGGCAATATTGCACAATAGGGGTGCCAATCCTATCCTGGCCACTAAGCAGCACTCTAATATCTGTAAGACGAGGCATTTTGCGGATACGTATTCTGCAGCTTGCCGTACGATGAGGCAAGGTGCAAACAAGACGCTTGGCAAGAGAACTACACCAACATCACTTTCAGAAGCCTTCACGGGTAACGTCGCCAACTCCCCCTGGACCCGGGCGTTGCGTTCCTGAGGCCGGAGCCTTAATGTCTCGATGGACAATCCTGCGCTTCGTCACACGCGCCCGAACGCAGTTTGAGTCATTTGGCTGTGGCTCCAAAATATGTACCCCAGCTGGAACCCTGGTAAATGGAACCATGGACTAAAACCTGCGGCCCCCTGGTGGTGAATTTTGACCCATACCCATGTGGCTGTGGCTCAAAACCAAAAAAAAAAAAACGGGATCCCAAAATGGGTACGGTAAGTGGAATGGACCAAAACCTGCGGTTTGCCCCTCCGATCGTTTAATTTTGAGCCACACACACATGTTGAAATAGATGGCACCGTTGCCACGTTTAGAACCAAACTGAAACCAGTCAGTGCTGTCTTTTTCTCCAGCGAAACAACGGAACTTGCTCCAAGGGTCGCCCACGCCATGCCAGAGTGCTGACTGAAACACTGGCCAAACGCCTGCAGCCATTTGGGTTACTTGCATCTGTGCGGGGGAAAGGAGTGATGGGCAACAAATAAACAAATTGCCCACCAAAGTGGACCGAACCCGGCCATTTTTGCAGAGGAGCTTTGCAGAGGAGTGGGCACCTATCAGGCTGCTTGGACGCATTGACATCTATTCAAGCAGCTCTCCTTTTGACGTGCATGTGCTGGATGCCCAACCTCGGCCAAAAGCAAGTGAAGTTTCAGAGCGCGTTGTGCACCTTGTGTGACCACCTACTATCAAAAAGAGGCAAGACCGCAGGAGCAGCTGAAAAAACGTGCAAGAATAAACATGTTGGGCATGCAATCGCACCTCGTGTTTTCGAGAGGGCAGTCATGAGTTATGAGTCATTGGATCACAAATGCTGGGTGCTCACCGCAGTACTGAGCCGCCAAGGCAAAAAACACGCCGGCCCTACGCTTCTGGTTCCATCCAGAAGTGCAGGAGCACCGCGAGACATACTTTCAACCAAATACATCACAAGTCCGAGGACAACTCAGACTCAAACGTCCTGCTTACTACACTCCTCCCCAAACAAAATGTACGGGAAAAAACGAAAATACAAAAGGAGGAACATGCAAATCCCTCAAATGAAATTTCCCAAGAAAGCTCTAGCACACCAAACCAAATGAAACTGAAATCCAACAAAACTAAACTAAATGGAAACTCAAATCAACATCTCACAAGGAAGCTCCAGCAATACTATATCGCATGCAAACTCGACATTGGCCCCAGCAATACAACCCAATACTAAGCCAATTGATTTGGTGGGTTGTCATCTATTGAGAGGGATCTTGAGAGGGGGGTCCGATTAATGAAAGGTGGCCATTACAGGCAATGCATCTGGGCTTTGAGATGGAGCACCCCCGACAAGGCTGGCAAACACAACTCCTCATCCACATAGGCGTCTTTTTAGGGGAAATATATGGCACCAGGAAAACCAGGGCCATCCATTTTGTCTACCAAAACCAAAAAGGACACCTATGCTCATGCAACTGATGTCCACCAAAGGATGTTCAACTGGCAACGTTGTTTTTCTCCAACCTCTCCGAACATCAGACATGCTACACGTCGCCTCCGAACAGGTAGCCTTCCAATCGGGGAAGCTGACAATCGGGTCTTGGAAGAACCTCTTGAACCCCCCCGGGATCCACTTCCGTGGCACTGTGCACCTGCGCGGAAATGCTCAGGCACCGGCAGAGCTTGTTGGAAATCGTTCCTGAAGCTGGCCCGGGTTCCGCCTAAAAAGACGGAATTGCCAAGGGAAGGTTCTTAGGTTCACTCGCCAAGCCGAAAGGACACATGGTCTGAAACTCCCTCCCCCTCCCAACATTCCAGAAGGACCAGGCGTGGGCTAAGCCGGGTTGAGATGCTTCAACCGCTTGAGCCAAACAGGGAAAGGGCCAGACTACGCCCATTGCCCGCGGGTCCTGCAAAAAGTTGATCTGTATGCTTGCGTAACATCGACCCAGAATCAGTGAAGGAAAAGGTAACCCTGAATAAAATCAATAATCCCTTCCTGCCATAAAGGACACCCTAATACAACTTGCTGTTGAAAACGCCTCGGGCCCGAATACAAAATGTGGATGGCTAAATCAATTCCTTTATGTAGCGATTAGATTGGCAGACCCTTCAATCACGACCTACAGTGAAGTTCAGCGTGTGGTCAGTTCAACTCAGTGTCTCAACCACACCTATAACATCATGGGATAAGCCTCGGAACTCAGGCAAGAGCACGGCGTAGGTTAAACTTGGCCCTCAGAGCTAGTGGGTTGTGGCAGTCATGTCTGCGCTTTCGCTGAGAAACCCTGATGTAATCTGGCTTACGGATGATTCCTCCCCAAAGGCCATCAACCACTCTTCTTTGGTGTTGATCCCCTGGGAAACGCGAGGCGTGTTTGCTGTTGGGCACCTGCAACCGAAAGGTCACCAAAGGCAAATTCACGTTGAGCAAGAACGTCTGAGCTACGTAAATCTGAAGCACGCACGTAGTACCGGCCAGTTCAAGGAACGCATAGGATAATAGCACCACTATGGCCACGCTGCGTTGAGGTCCATCGCATGACTATAAGGAACCAATCCCAATCAGCCCATTTACACACATTAACTACAACCAAATGACTCACATAAG